ACAATGCAAACAAGCTTGCACAATGCACAATGCATTTGCACAATGCAAACAAGCTATGCCGGAGAGGCTGGGAGAATGGCGTTCCTGTAATCTGACGTCTATTTTTGTAACACTTTGAACATATTTCTGTTATAATCTTGAAGATAAGGTGATGCAAGTAAGTGCACGATGAGATTGATTCTTGTGCATTGTAGAGGGGCAATTCCTCCAAGGCACTTCCAATAATAGTGGATGAACTGTGTGTGAGCCGGAGTACTTTTTCTACTTTAGCGGTACCAGTTATAGGAGGTCCAGTGCTAAGTATCAATACTCTGCCATCTCACTAGGTCACTTGTGGCTTAGCTTATATGCACAATGGTGCATATCGTCCTAACTTCCGGGTTGGATTTAGGTTCACAGATTTTCCTGAAACTTTCAAAACTGCTTGTGTAGATAACAAAGATAAAAAGCAGTGGTGGGAATTCTGTGCCAAAGGTGCCAACCTGCGCCAACTGGAAACCACAGCACCATGCTGCTCTAAAAGGGTCTTTTTTGTCTAATTTGCGCCATTGGTGCGCCGCAAGGTGGTTTTGGAAAATGTATGTTGACAGCATGCATCGTGAGGGGATATTACGTGATGATCGCCATCTTGTACACGTCCGATGCTGCAAAAGCACAGAATTGATTAATCAATAATTCCGACTTCCACTTGATTGTGGTGGTGCTTTTTTTCGTAATTATTGGCAGAGAGTAAAGGTGTTGTGGTGACTAATAAAGGGAGTGCCAATATGACTCATCGCCGACTAAAAGCCTACGTTTGGCATTGTGCCGCTTCAAGCCTTGTGCACGCATTGAATAACTGGCGACTACTTGCAGCTTCCATTATGCTTCTGACCAATGCGTGCTTTTTTGCCCTTGTAGATCTCCAAATCAAGAATCAACCCATTTGGCGCAGCAAGAACAAAGTTTTTAACCCTTCAGGGTTTGGCTTATGCAGAACGAACTGCTTGAGCTGCATTCGTCCAGTAAATGGTATCATCTGCTCGTCCATGCATACATGCTCTGGGTGAGAAAGCTTTTGGCTGCCTTCTAGCATCCGGCAGACCGGTGGCCTTATCCCTCAAAGCAGGTCTTTTTTTTTTTTTTTTCTCATCTTCTCTCACATTATGCTCATTGACAACTTCAAGCCGGCATCACAGCTTAAAATGCCCTGTGATTAGCAACAAGAGGCATTCATGTTTCCTTCTTCCAATACATCTGTATCTGGGGGGTAGCCCAAGCATGGCATTGCCATTGTTGTTCCAAAAGCTGTTTTTAGCTCACTTGATCTCACGTTCAAAAAATGCCCTGACTGGTGGACATGGCTTTCTTCATTGCATCTGCTATGTTTTCTTGCTCCTCTTCAGGCATGTACTGACAAAAGTAGTCTGAGAGAGTCTAAGAAACTCCTGCTGCACTAGAATTGACAGCATTGGGAATGAAATCCGGAATCCAAGTCGGAACTGGCCTGCATTAAAAAGAAATAACCAGCGTGAGAGTGAGCATTGTCCAGTTTTCGCATATTTGTTGAAATAGCGACCACGAAGGCACAATAAATTGCATCGCATGCTTACCCTTGGAGCCGCTTCCAGGATGCCTTAGATGACTTGCTGATAGATGTGGTTGGGCCATCATCACAGCTTTCATCCTCATCGAAGCTAACACTCTCAAGGAGGTGCAGAAAAGCTTGGATCAACGATGGTGTCATCGTTGCTGCCTGACAAGTCGAAGTTTGACGAGTTGCCCTGGGCTATTCGCATAAGTATCTTCTCCGCCGTGTCATCCGACACACGAGGCCTGAACAAAAAAAAGAGGCACTTTATTTATGCAACACGCAGTAAAAAAAAAACAAGCGAGCACAAAAAACGCCACGCGACACCAAAATAAATGCAGGATCAACGCGCCCCGCGTCCTGTCGCTACATCCGAAATGACGGCGTTGAGTGCCAGCGTCCAATGTGTTGGACATGCACTATCATATCACTAGCAGAGAAATGCAGGCAAATGCCCAACTAAAATTTGCCATTAAGCATGCACCTTTATCATTATCTTACTAGTTAATGGATCTTTAGCACGCTAAAATGGTAAACAAAATTCTATAAAAGACACTTCTCTCGCGGTCACTTTAAAACGCTGCTCCACTGAATGTCGCCGTGTTGTCTTTCTTATTTTGGAATCTGATAGCACAGTTTCAACAAAACATCACAGATGGCGCTAGTAGACATCCAAAATAATGGACAACTGGTTTTTAAGGCTGAAAATACGCTGATGCCTTCGTAGTTGTGGAGTATTTCATGTTCAATATATTGGACAAATCGCCATAGGTGGAACTTGGGAGGTTATACAAGCTTGTTGAGGTCTGGTAGTCACAGCGGTGTGGTGCTGATAAGAGGCTTTCTAGTTTTGGATAGATAGTAGATTGAACTACCAAGTTGAGTCATGATTCGTGGTCATTGTCACGACGCTGCTGTCACGCCACTTCACGAGGAGCACTTCATTTTGAGTGTCAAAGCAGCTAGCGAAGTAGCCCCTATCTCGCTTTTCCATCCCTTTCTTCGCTGGCAAGGGAGCATTCTTGAGGCGGTTCTTGCGGATAGTGCCGGTCGCTCTTAAACCGTTCATTCTAAGACGCTAACAGGTCAGTTCCAGGGAGAGAATTGTCGAAGTAAAGGATGTGGTCCGAAGGGATAGAAATGTTCGCGCAAAAAGAAGCACGAGGGGCAAGTTTTCAGAGTTCGACGACTTTCCGTAATAAGTATCAAAGGCGTAGCAGTAGCCATCTGAACTGCAGAGCTTCCAGTTTTTATAGCCAAATTGTATTGGCTTGCCCCGAATAAACTGTTTGCACGGGTGATGCCCAAAATATTTTACCATTGATTCGGTTACGGAAAGGTTTCTGTGAAAAACCCCGTGCTGCTGGAACTTTTTGTTTATTAAATCCATGAGTGGCCGGACTCTATACATCCTGTCGGTTGTTGCAACAATAGCGTTGTTGTCAGCAAAATGTAAGAACCTCCTCCTTGGCATGCACCGAAACACACAAGGAACGCGAACATCTTCAAGAGACTAGTACATCCTCTGACTTGGCAATCTGTTGTACCCTCTCAGAAGAATACAGAGAAATTTCTTTAGGTCATCCGTGCTTCGAGAAAAGCTGTGCTCATTTTTTTGTTTTGCGTATGTCCTTGACTGAACTATTATTTGGCTGAGGACCTGCTCATCAAAAATGCTGAAAAATATCTCACTCGGCGATTTTTTCTTAAAATTTCGTCTTCAAACTGCTTCTTCGGTCTTCAGTTCCGTTAGTGGGCGCAGACCAAGAGTGCTGAGGCGCACTTCGTTGCCATTTGGGGGCGGTCCCATTCCTCGCCTTTTTAGGAGCACTTAGAGCATGTGGTAGAGAATCTGCAGGAAGCAGGTGGACCTCGAGCGAACCTAGAAAATAAATGAAGCTCTACAACTGCACGAACACTTTTAAAATGGTTGCAAAAATAGTAGCACTCACCGCATACGTCATTCAGCCCAAGGTCTTCAATGCAGTCATTTCCACCTTCACCGGTTTCTGCAGGAGGCTCGAGAAGCACGATCACCAAGTCAACATCATTATCTGCTTCTTCTCCATTGTCAAGCTCTTCTAGAGCTTCTTGAAGTCGGCAGAACTTTTTTGTGCCAAAGAAAAAGTCAGCCTCCATGGCACAAACCGTCTGCAATAGGATAATTGTGTAGCACACGTAAGCGCCCATTGTACTATATCAAGTACACCTAACTTCAAGCCAGCATAACTTGTTATTATCGCCTTACATCGCAAATAAAATTATGCTTGTGCCGAGGACCCGTTTTCATAAACAACCCACACAAATATTGAATTTAACAGAGCCCGCTGAAAAACCTTATAAAATAAAATGCACGCCCTTACAGAGCTAGCGAGGCGGCAATCAGTTTCCTGGAGTTGGCGGGAAAAATCACCTAGTAGGAGGAATAGAGAGATGACCACCCACACAGAGGTGGTAAAGGAATCCCCTGGTGGCAGCAATCTGAACTCAATCATGAAATTTATTTGCCTCGATGAGAGAAAAAAATTTGTTATTTACTGTACTTGATTAAGTACATTGGGCTACTGTACTTGATTAAATACATTGGGCGGTAATGGGTTAAACCTCCTCCGCTGGTCCAAAGGGCACCTATTCTGCTGGCCGCCCTTCAGCGCTGCTCTGACTTGGTGCTGGAATCGCTCCAACCACTGGAGTGCCCACTGGCTGCAAGAACCGCACCCGCCACCGGAGCACCGGTCGGCTGCAAGCTTGAAGATGCAGCGCCTTCCCCTGAAGAGACTGCGCTGGGTTTTGTCTTTTTTTTTATCTAGCGTGTGAGCCTGAGGCCCATTTGTCATAGCCAGGTACTTCTTTGATGCCGGAAGTTTTACTTGGATTGGCCTCTTTAACGGCATGTGAAGTGAAATTGTCTCATTCGGGGTTCGATAGTTCTCCCCCACCCAACCTCTGTTGGTGACTGTGAAATGCATAGGCGTGAGAGGCAAAGGATTCAAGGAAAGGGAAAAGAAAACCCACGGAAGTATACTGGATGGTTGGCCCCAGAAGGTGGCCTAACTCAGGGTCCCGAGAGTTGGAGAATTCCTTGCCCTCACCTTTTGCTGGATAGAAAGCGCAGGGTATAGTGTAGGCCCACATGGCACGAAACGTTCTGTGAAACCGTCTGGCATGGGAGGGAAGTAATTTCGTGAAGATCTTGCCCATCCAGGGGTATTTGTCACGCCACTTTGCTAAAGGTCAGGGTTTTGCCGCCCACCTCAGTAAAATGCTGTCATAATTAAAAGCTTCATTAAGTTGCTTATCAAATACTTCTTGTAGATACTTCTTGCTCTACCTGTTGGTGGATCATTTGACTAGTTATAGGTCATTTTGAAGGGGCTGTCCTTGTGGAGCTTGTGCCAGCTAAACCACAGAGTGAAAGTGTCTTCTGCAGCTTCAGCAAAGAAAAACAGAGTACTCCAAAGGTAGAGGAGCCCGCCCCAATCACGGAACGACGTTAAAGACAAAGGCCCTTGTCTGCGTACTCTGAAAGACTGAAGAACCTTGTCTCCTTTCTCTGCTGATGTCGGCACTACGTGGAAGCTCTTGTGGCACTTGTAAGTATCTTTTGCTTTAGAATGTGATCAGCGAAGTAAATAGGCCAACCTTCCATTGCTGGGGTGTCGTGGATTATGTGATACGTGATTTCTGTTGATGCATCAAGTGCACTAGAAGCACCTTCGAATTCGCCGCCATGCATTACTGTCCACCTCGCGCACTAACTCATTTGGTTATGTAAATGATGTTAATGTGCAGCCTTCAGTGTTTCCTTGGTTGGGTGCTTTAAAGAAGTTAAAGGAAAGCGAGACAGTGCACATTTGTTGGGAATCTCGCTAGCGTCGATTGATCGTTAGACCTCGAGAACTGCTTTAGTACACCTTAACTTTTCTGCAGCAGATGTCAAGTTAAGATGCACTTGAAGCCTACCTGCTTCATCGGGTAGTAGCTTCCAATGTAGCCTTCATTTTGCAGTGACACGTGTTACATATTCTGTATGCTCAAGCTTAGGGTGGCCGCTGCATTATGGTTGAGCATTGAAAATGCAAACCCCGCTTTTATATTTTCATGTGGTGAATTTTACAGATGGATTTTAAGGGGTGTGCTGAATCCACGGGAGAAGCAATAAAATGTGCCGTGGACCAACGCGACGCAGATCGAGCAGTGAAAAATAAACTTGCTTTGCCAGTGAGCACAACGAAAGGTATCTCCCGCATCTAGGTGAGAATCGGTATCTGCATGCTTCTGAATCTGATTGGGTTCAGTTGTTACTTGACGCGAAGACAGCTTGTCTTTATCACATTTACAGAAAGGAAGATCGACGGCCGCACGTGAGTGATTCTTCAGGTTCTCTAATAAATTGATCACCAGTGTGCCTGATTACGACTCTGTCATCTGAAGTTTGAACTGAACCTAAATGTCCAGATGTTTAATGGATGTGTGGCATCTGCTGTGAAATAATGCTCGAGGATTTGGTCACAAGGTCACACAGCATCTTTTCCAATAAATATATCCCAAATTCTCTTTCACAGGCCTGTCTTTCCACCAGCCAGGTCAGTAATCGTAGCAGCTATACGTACACACATATTTTTTCACATTCTTGAATTGTTTCAATTGAGCTCTCCCTACTGAAGCACTCCTGAATGAGCTTCCAGTTTATTAAAATGATAAGCAACTGTCTGTTTTTATTTTCCTGTAACTCTTCGTGGCATGAATGCTAGTTCATGTGTCTGCCAGTGGTATAATAGGCCTGCCAATAATAGTTAGTGCCAGTGATTTGATCAAATGTGAGCATTTTAATCACTCAGCTGAATTTCGTCAAGCTCTGAAGTCGCAACCATGTGCGAAAATCTCGGTTTTTTGGCACATGTGCTCAACATTAATTTTAAGGTGCCATTGAATATTTCTACCTAGCCATTTGCCATGGGGCGATATGGGGTGGTGGGAAGCTGGTGCCTGGAAACAAGCCGTGCTACCTCCTTCATAAGGTCTGAGGGAATGTTCGTGCCACGGTCGCTCAGTATCTCTTAGGGGACGCCAAATTGAAAGAACATTTCGACTAAGGCTCCAGCGACTTGTTCGGTTTCAATGCTCGGGAGTACCACTGCGCCTGGGTGGCATGATCCATCAAGGTCAAAATGTCTGTCCCCATGCTTTGGTGGTGGTTGGATAGGGCCCACTATATTGATCGCCACTTGCTTGAACGGGGTGTTGATTATGGGTGCCCTTTCTAGTGGAACACGTGGAAATTACAGCCCTTTGGTATGGCGCGCTGGCAAATGTCGCATGAGGTAACGAACCTCTTTACAGCGGCTATGATGCCCGGATAAAAGAACTCTGAGATTCAGTCCTTAGTTTTGTGTGTGCCCATATGCCCTACCATTATATCATAGTGGGCTGGTTTAAGCACAGCTTTTTGGTGGCATTGCAGCACAACTAGTTGGCGCACTAGCCATCCATTTGCCTCCCTATACTATCATTACAACTTGTCTCCTTTCTTTTTGTACTCATTGCTTCCCTTCTCGTTTTGGTGTGTTTGCTTCCTGCTGAATATAATTTGACTAAATCCGTTCTATCACATGAGCATATCACCGTTAATCATGAAGTACCTTCGCATAGCGTTAAAGTACTTCAAAAGAAACAATACTTCAGTTTTTGATGTAAAATATGAAACCGAAAATATCCTATGGATTTTTGAAACATTTATTACCCGAAATAGATTTTAAAACGCTACACACAATTCATTGGAAAGATCGCGCAGGGTTATGGCTCGCCATGTTGTGTTACTCTCTATTGTACAAAGACCGCAAAATACATGCTCCCATAGCAAAAAGTTCTTAGGTGACGGTGAAAAATTGGAACGCTACATTCACGTTAGATTTAAAGTTTCCAAGGGAACAATCGTATAATATCTCTGTGAAAAGGCCTTCTTTATCGATAAGGTTATAAAAGCGCCTCAAGTTGTGAAACACATACTACAAGAGTTCATCGAGTTCTCATTCAATGGTGTTCCTAGATCGGAAGCTAGCAAAGGTACACCATAAAAAAGGGGAGAGAAGGCATGATTTTTTTTGTGGGAGCAAAAAAAAATTTGTTTCATTATCCGGTAAAATTAAAATCTTCGAATCCGGAAAGATTACTCGTCACGGACTTAGCGTCGTCCTCGTTGTTGTTGTTAGTAGAAGTAGTAGCAGAGGGACGATAGGTGCCCTTTGCAATGGCCATCATGTCATCCTCGGTGAATTCTTCAAACAGGTCCACAATACCAATGCCCTCGCTTGATGGCTGAGGCATCTTCACGCGCACCATTAGGCTAGTGCCAAGCACGATGCGAGAGTACAGCTCCTTGGACTCGACGAAAGAAAAGTTAATGAACGCTGCACCTCGAAAGTTGGGGCTCTCGTACAGACAGGTCGTCTCGTCGCGAGGGTCCCATGCATTGCGATCTCCCAGCAAGCGGGCGCTACACGAGATCGCCTCTAAGTACTTGCTGCGGTTGATGGCGCGCTCGTCCTTGAGCTTCACTTCCCCGGAGACTATTCGGGCCTTGTAGTTGGCCCACTCGCTCTTGTCCACATACTGCTGGAGAATCCTGCCGCTGCCATGCATGAACCGCTCGGGGGCTCCGTGAGCAATTCCATTTGCGGGTAATAGGTAGGCGCGAACCACAACTTGTCTACCTTGCTGCAAATCTCCTTGATGTCGTTGGGTGCGTGGTTCAATTTGCCTATGCGACCCATTGATGTGAACTCGATCATCACCTTGATGAGCATGATCGCATAGTCGATGGCCACGCCATCCCTACCCAGGGGACCGACGGAAACGACCGGTGTTCCCATCTCGGCCTTGTTGATTAGCGTCTCTCCACTGTCGTCCAAGCGTAATACTTCTTGATCTCCTCCTTGTATTGCATGTATTGCAACTTTCCGTGAAAGGACATGGGGGTGAGGTGGGGCACCAGGGACCCGTTAAAGTCGTAGCCACTGTTGGGCATGTAAAACGTGCACGCATCCTCCGGCAGCACCTCGACGGCCGTAGCTTGCAGCTTAGTGGGCAGGTATGGCTTGATTTTGGAAAAGACGACGTTGTTTAATATCCTTGGCCGGCTGGTTACCCGATTGCTTGATGGTAACCATGTTCGTAGATGCGCTAGTGTTTGTCCGATTGCTTGATGGTAACCATGTTCGTAGATGCGCTAGTGTTTGCCAGCTCACAAATGTAATCATACACGAGCCGCTTGACTCTCTGCGCAATGTCCAGATCTCGTTGCGCCTTGTGTATGTTGGAACATATGGTCTTTAAAATTTAATGTTGATGGTGCTGCCATTGCTGTCAAATTGTTTCAGGAGGTGTTGATAGGAAACGTCCTGGAGCCTCACCTCATCCATGACGGCTTCGTAATCAAGCACCTTGGGGAACGTCACCGTGCTATTGTCCCTGAACAAAGACCCTTTCGAAGGTATGAAGGTTATTTTCGACCGCAGATCGTTATCATTTCCGGGTAATAATAACTTCATAAGAATCTCGCGGATTATGGAGGAGACATACGAGATTTATCACCGCCACGCCTACGGTGTGGAAATTCAAGTGGATGATAGGGACGTGCACTCCCAAGTGGCTAAAAAGCACCGACTTTGGCCTCGTTGAGATTGCCTACGATAACATCGTGGGTATGGCCCTCAGTCCCCGCAAGTACGTATATCTCAAGACTAAGACTCTGTTTCCCGTTCCGGACATGATAGAGAGGATACGATTCGGTGGGGGCGTCAACATCAGTTACGTCGTGGACTCGCTATCGTACCCCTACGACCTGATACGGTCCCTGAACGCGGCGTGCCCGGACGGAGAGCCCACGTTGATGTACGTCTCGAGGTTGTGTTGCCGTCTTGTGGCAGGTGTGGACACTACGTTGTTAGTTCACTTATCAAGCTTCACTTATCATCCACTTATCAAGCTCCATTCTATCAACAATGAGAACTGTCGCTAGTAGTGCATCTAAAACAGCATGAACACAATTCACATGTATAGTTTCGACTTGGCGCAACAGCTTCAACTGCACTGCTCTATCGTTATGCTGTGCTCATAGTTCTCGTTCACCTTTCACTGTCAACTTTTCTACAGAACGTCCTCGTCGTGAACGCTAGTTGTGTTACAAGCTGCCACTCTGCACTCGTCGGCGGGAATTACAGCTGGTTAGTTTGTTCCGTACGCCAAGTAGCAGTGACAATATCAGAGGAGTTCGTGTGGGAAAACAAAACGACATAATATACTAGTTCACCCTTCACTGTCAATTTTTGTACAGAGTGTCTTCGTTGCGAACGCTATTTGTGGTCAAGCTGCCACTCTAGCGTCGTCCGCGAGAATGACAGCTGGTTAGTTTGTTCTGTACGCCAAGAAGCAGTGACGAGATCAGAGGCGTGTGTGTGGGAAAACGAAACGACATAATATACTAGTTCATTCTTCACTGTCAACATTTGTGCGGAATGTCTTCGTTGCGAACGTTAGTTGTGTTACAAGCTGCCACTCTTGCGTCGTGGGTGGAAATGACAGCTTGTTAATTTGTTCCGTACCCCGAGAAGCAGTGACGAGATCAAAGAGGCGTGTGTGTGGGAAAACGAAAGGACTTAATATACTAGTTCACCCTTCACCGTCAACTTTTGTACGGAACGTTTTCGTTGCGAACGCTAGTTGTGTTACAAGCTGCCACTCTAGCATCGTGGGCGGGAATGACAGCTGGTTAGTTTGTTCGGTACGCCAAGAAGCAGTCCCGAGATCAGAGGCGTGTTTGTGGGAAAACGAAACGACATAATATACTAGTTCACCCTTCACTGTTAGCTTTTGTACGTAACGTCTTCATTGCGAACACCAGTTGTATTACAAGCTGCCACTCTAGCCTCTTCGGCGGGAATGACAGCTCGTTAGTTTGTTCCGTACGCCAGGAAGCAGCGACGAGATCAGAGGCGTGTGTGTGGGAAAATGAAACGACAGAATATAGTAGCATGTGGCACAAGGAATACAATACTTCAAACGACTAACAAGCATACATGAAAAAGAAAAGTAAATGAGCTTACAAGCTAGAAGTATTAACATAGGCGGGGAATTACGCACAAGGAAGTAAACAATTGAATAAATGAAGAGCAGTTGAAGATTGAAAAATCAAAAGTGTTTACAGGTGATGACCAGCAGTGTCGGTTACGTGACGATTGGATGCAAGAAGTCCCGATTAGTTGGGGCACCACAGAAATGTCGGCAGCTTTGTAATGCTGATGTTCCGGGAGTTGGGGCTTGACTTTGATCCCAGTCACGTTCAGCTAACCTGGGTTCAATTTACGATGTCTACGTAGCAGACGTTGATTACGTGTCCCAACTAGATGAACGGGTTCAGGTAGCCAGCCGATACGAAGCCATACTAAAAACTTCCAGAAAAGATACTTAATCTACCCCATGTTGTACAAGCAACCGAACTGCTTAGCAAGGCGATATCCTGTGCTTAAATTCTCCTAACGTCCCCTCATTCTCTTTTT